CCAACCTCCAGCTCTATCTTGTGGTCTACCTCGCGCCTTGGAAGTAGGGTCTTTGGCAGCTCGGCTGGCATCACGTCCTTGTTTTCTTCAAGGACCTTCTCTACGATCGGTGGCAAGGATTCCTTAGCACCATTGTCTTCCTTCGAACTTGCAATGGTGGCCAAGAACGTCGGGTCTCCTTTCTTTAGGCCCTTTACAATCTGCATGGCTGACAGAAGGACATGTCCTTCCTTCTTTGGCACCTTAACTAGAGGTACCATGCACGACCCTTCCCGCTCCATGACCATGAGTCGTTGGAGGTGGGGGTCGATCATCGTGTGGCAACGCTGGAAGAACTTTTGCCCAAGAATAATGTCAAAGATATCCAAAGGAGCGACGATAAAGTTTGTCTTACCTTGCCAACTTCCCAACGTGATACTCACTCCTTGGGCGATTCCGCACACGAGGTCGGTGGTGCATTGACCGTTTTAAGGCGGGTGTTGCTTGGAACATATCTCAACCCTAACCTCTCTGCCGCCGTTTTGGTCATGATGTTTGCTTCTGCCCCGGTGTCCACCATGGCACGAGCTGTACGTCCATTAATGGAGATGTCTACATACTGCGTGTTGAAGTCTCCTGGCTTCTCTGTCTGCTTGGCTATCGCCCCGCATAGTCCAACCATGCCCAACTGCGTCGTGCTCGCATCTTGCCCTTGCTCTTGTGCGTCCTTCTCCTTCCGTTCGCGTAGGATGGCACCAAGGTTTTTCATCTCCGGGCACCTGGCGTAGCCGTGTGGTCTTCCGCATATGTAGCAACCATCTCCCTTGGTGGTCTGCGTCTTCTTCTCCGTGTAGTTCTAGCGCACGAACCGTCTGCTGTCCGGCTTGTGGGGGTCGTGCTACTTGGGGTGTGCCTGCTGCTCCTTGCCTCGGCCGCGGTCTCCCCCACCTTTGGTATGACTGCTCCTTGCATCCTTGCCCTTTGCCTTGTCATGCCGATCATGCTTAAAGTCTGTCAAAGACTCGTCCTGTGTGATGGCTTCGTCTATGGTCTTGACCTGTCGCCGTTCCAACTCCGTCTTGGCCCAATTCTGCAACCCGTCCATGAGGTGGAACAACATGTCTTCGTCCGTGAGGTTAGGAATCTGAAGCGTTAGAGTTGTGAACTCTTTCACGTACGCCCGAATGCTTCCTGTTTGCTTCAGTTCCCTGAACTTGCGCTTAACCTCATATATGACGTTATTAGGGAAGAAGACTTTCTTGGATTCTTCACGGAATTGCTCCCACGTGTTGATGGTGCACGTCCCCTTCCCTATCTCAGCTTCTTTGCGCTTCTACCACAGCATGACCATCTCTGAAAGATACAACACGACAGTGTTGATCTTGGTCTCGTCACTCTTCACCCGACTACACTTGAAGTAATTCTCCAAGTGCCATAAGAAATTCTCCACCTCTTGAGCATCGCGGATGCCTTTAAACATAGGTGGCTTGGGAGCCTCAACCCTGGCCTCCCTATCACGGTCGGGTGATGCGGATCCTCCAGCTTCCATGCCTTCATTGAGTGTCCTCATTTCGACCTTCATGGTTTCAATTGTGTTCAATGCCTCCATGAGCCGGCACTCCAAGGAAGTGATGGCCTCCTTCATCTCAAACTCGGCCCGCTGACGTCCCTCCAACTCCTTACGGATGTTTTCGGTCTCCTCAAGGGTGAAGTCCTCAAGAGTCTTGAATTTGCCATCGGCCACGTTCATGCGCCGACCTAATATCTCCACGGCCTGCCTCGCCACTTCAACCCTTGAGACCCACTCTTCTCCTGCAGTGACGTCAATGGCCCCTTCACCATGTTCATCGTCACTGGGCTCGGTGGTCGAGGGTGGATGAGATGTTAGCGCCTCGCTTGGTGTAGGATCCAGCAGCATTTCTTCAGGACTCTTTTGGTGCTTCTTTCCCTTTCGGGACTTCTTTCCACCATTCAGACGGATGTTGGTGGTGCTAGCGGCGTTTACGTCCCCTTCAGTTGCCATTCCCTTAGTGCAAACCTCGCTCTGATACCACGTTGTCACGGACTTAGAGTGTTGGCTAAAGTTTCGTGCGGCCCTTGATAATTTACTCACTACTCTTTCAAGATCTTGTAAACTCAAGGAAGCCTTTAAGACTTGAATCGCTAAGAGATTGCTTTTAAGGAAAGACTTAGAAAGAACAAAGAGAGAGTTTTGGAAGAAGGCTTTTTGTATTGCTTTTGGAGAATGCTTTACACTTGAGTGATGCCTTTGCAAATGAGTGACACCTCTATTTATACTACTTCCTAAGGACTAAAGTGCAATTAATATTTACATGAGAAGTCCCTAAGATATTTACACATTGGCCCCCTTTCTAGAGAATTCTACACAATCTAGACTTTTCCAAGGCCTTCTTGAAATGTCTAAGGCATTCTAGAGTTCTCTACTTGACTCTAGAAACCTCTATGCCTTCTTGGCTGCAAAATTTGGCTCGAATAGTGGCGGGACATGACACTAATCTCTGCAATAATTCTCCATAACATTAATTAGTTTTATATTCCAGTTTTGCCAATTTACACAATACAATATGCAAATAGCATATCACTGTGAGACCTCATCAATCATATAACTAAGATAAACAAATTAGTAGAAACAGGGCTTTTGAAAATATTTTTTAATTTTTCCATTATCTTGATGGTGCACTAGTAGTACCATAAGTGTTACTATTATATTATTCAAAATACACACATCATTAGTGGTCCTAACCAAAAGAATTAATCCTTAGTCAAATGTTACTTCGCCTCCAAAGTCGTCAAAAAAATTGTCCAAGTGTTCTTATTTTTGGGTTAATAATATTATTAAACTCTGCAATCATGAGGATGTTGAGATGGATGTGTGGGCACACTAGGAGTAATAAGATTAGGAATGAAGTTATCCGGGAGAAGGTGAGAGTGGCCTCTGTGGTGGACAAGCTAAGGGAAGCGAGACTGAGATGGTTTGGACATGTGAAGAGACGATGCGAAGACGCCCCAGTGAGGAGGTGTGAGGGGCTGGTTGTAGAGGGTACGCGGAGGGGTAGAGGTAGGCCAAAGAAGTATTGGGGAGAGGTGATTAGACGGGACTTGGCTCAGCTTCACATTACCGAAGACATGACTCTAGATAGGAAGGAGTGGAAGTCGCGTATTAAGGTTGAAGGTTAGTAGGGCTAGCGTGTTGTCCTTTCTTGCGAGGGCATGGGTTGTTAGCGTGTGTAGTAGTCTTAGCCTTGCACTTGCAGTTCTTGTCTGTGATACCTATAGCCTTATGTTGTTTTGCGTTTCACTTCTCTCATTGTTCTATTGAGGCTACTGTCTCCTCTGTTGATTATTCACTATCTTTCTTATTAGATGGTATGTTTTATACACTGTTTTCCTCGCCTTTAACTTGGATTTGATGTACTTGAGCTGAGGGTCTTTCGGAAACAGCCTCTCTACCTCCACGAGGTAGTGGCAAGGTCTGCGTACACTCTACCCTCCCCAGACTCCACCTAGTGGGATTTCACTGGGTATGTTGTTGTTGTAAACTCTGCAATCATGAAAAATTAATTTCTCACTAAACTTCGATTTTTTGATGTAATAATTGAAATTCCTTCGCTTTTTACTAAGGTCTTTCAGTTCAAATTTTGAAGGGAAAAAAATTAGTCGTAAGAGTTTCACCTTCTTTAGTGGGCTTATCCGACATGATACTAGATTAGTCAGATTAGTGAATTTCACGTACCAAATTATTTTTTAGAAAAAGGACCTAAGTTGTAAACATGGTCAATTTTAGGAAAATACTTGGTCTCCAAGTGCATGGACCAAAGTCTAACCAAATGATGACCATATTCTCACAGTTCCCTTGCTTTCCAAGTAGGCAAGGGGTAGTATAAATAAATAGAATTGACACAATAATTTCACAAACAACTATTAATATTAGTAACTAGTAATTTCACTTTGTTGAAAACACAGAGCACCCATGGCACAAGTTGCTGAAATTCATGTCATGCAAAAACTTCATAAGGAGAAGATGAAGACGACATCAAAAATCGAAACGACCAACAAGAAATTGGTTGGTGATGAAGATAACAAAACTTGTAATTCTGGGAAATGTTGTTCTTGGTTAGGGAAGAAAGTTAGTTGTGTTACTAGACAATTGCTTAGTAGTGCAAGGAACAAACCTGTAATATGTGATTATAAAGATACTACATAATAGTAAAAAATAACTATGTAATGATTTTCTACTAGTGTAATTGTTAGATCGTTAAAGTGATCCTCATTTCATTTTCTTGTTAATCTCACAATTGTAACATGCTATAGAAGCCAACTTTGTCACGTGTAAAAACGAATTCTTTAAAAATAAGGAAAATGACTTCCCGATAGAAATAGGAAAAACAAGTTTCACAAGTGACTATCCATATTAATTGTGTCCTCTCCTCCCTGGCTCCCCACCCTCAGACACGCCTCATCTTCACCCCACCATCATAGCCTCTCATAGTATTTGTCGTATTTGTCTAAATTATATCCAAATGCTTTTAGAGTATATTTGCTCCGTGAATTCTTACATTCTTCGAGTTAATTTCTCGGACAGTCACTCAACTAAAACAACTTTCATCATAGAAAGTCACTCAATTTCATTTTGTAACATAAACATCTCTCAACAGTTACTCAACTAACAACTTCTATCACAAAAAGTCACTCAATTTTTGTTTTGAACACAAATGTCACTTAACTAATGATAAATATTAGTCACTCAATTATTGTCATTTCACCTACAAAGTCACCCAACCAATTCAGACAATATTTTCGATAGATATTGATGACGTGAGATTTCTTTTTCTTTCACAAAAGTGTTTCCCTTTCTGTAGTTCTATCATATATACCAAGAGACTACATGGTCTCCCTTCATTCTGAATCAAAAAATCAGGAGCATAATGGTATCTTTATCTTCAAACTTTTCATATTTTTACATCTTTTTTCTCTTTTTTCACTAAGTTTTACTTTTAGGATACTTGTTAATGCATCCAAAAGACTCTCCAACTGAAAATTATATAGCACCATGAAATATAACAAAAGTGGAACAATTCCATTACTGAATTACAAGATTGTACAAGCACACCCGCCTTTTTTAAGGGAATCGTCCTTCAGCTTATCTGTGACAAATGTGTAAACAAAAATTATTCAGTACGCTTTCATAAAATAAGAACAAAATAATCAAATCCATGGCTTGAGATTCGAGAATCACTTAATCTTGTGTTTTGATACCAAGTTTGTCATGATACAAATTCCCAAGGCCTTGTGACTGGCACCCACTAGTCTAAATCAAGCGAACTCATAACATACATTCTAAGATAGTAAATAACTCATGAGCAGCGGAAAACATGTCTTACAAGCTTCCACAAATGCATAAATGTGGAACATGCTGGATGGTAAATATAAGTTAAACAATGTCTGGTAGCTAGTTAGGAAATAAGTTATTCATGTTAAAATTAATACAACGTGTGGCTTGCAAGTTCGCATAACTAATACATTTATAAGATATGAGGGAATTTATGTATTATCTTTTGTGGGTAGAAGATAGAATAACTGATACATACATTACTAATACATGCATAATTCTAACCAGCTACCAAACGATCCCTTTGCTGACTCAATGCCTGTCCTATCTAGTCTATGTATACTCTTAAAAGACCTCTAAAAGACGACAGCACAATGCATTAGAGCGTTCACTGTATACATAACACTGAACCATGACCTATGAGCTAGAACTAGAAGTACAAAATATAGCAACTTACCATTGTTTCTATCATTAACGGGGGGCCGTACAACAACATGCATAGTGATGACACCTCCTGGAACTTCAATGGCTGGATTCACCAAGAGTTTTACTATTTTCAAGGATCCTTCCAGCATTTATAAGCTTCACGTCATTTGTCGTCCTTGGACCATTATCTTTATCTGCCACAGCAAGATCTTCTGTTAGCTGAGGTATTTGAGGCATGCTAGAAAACGTTTGAGAGCTCACTGAGATTTTCTGGAGATGGGAAAAAAAAGAAGAGAAAATAGCAGCAACATGCACTTCTTGCAAACCCGACAATGCAAATATTAGTCTTAAATTATCCTTTTCATTCCTTAAAAGTAGTGAGAATCATACATTCTCTTTGGCTTTAGAGCAACGAAACAAATAATACGTGGATGTGGCTCAATTTTCATCCATTTTAGATTATTGGCTCAATTATATACAAGAAGATTTGGAAACGCAAGAATGATTCATAGTTCTAGAACTAATATTTTGTCACAAATAATACTCCCTCCATTTCAATTTATTTGCTTGGTTTTGACTTTGGCATGGAGTTAAAGAAGTAAAGAAGACTTTTGAATCTTGTGATCTCAAACTAAAGATATGTAGAATGTATCAAAATAACCTTGAATCTTGTGGCCTTAAACTAAAGATATGTAAAATATACCAAAATGTCATTTAATCTTGTGATTTTAAACATGTCATGTGGAAAGTTGAACTAGAGTGAATGGACTAAAAAGCAAATAAATTGAAACGAACGAGTATTAGTCACTTCATTTGTTCTGCAAGTGTCTTCGCTTTTAGATCTCACATGTTCTTTGGTTGATGGCACCTTTAATTCAGACCAGCGGCAATTCCTTACTGGCCCCTGTTCTAGAGCCTGTGTGAAAGAGGTAGGAAATAATAATCCCGCCCAGGAATAATAATGTGGCAATTCCTTACTGGCCCCTGTTCTTGCTATTAATCGTGAGTATTATTCCTGGGTGGGATTATTATTTCCCAACAACAGAAAGAACATAGAAAAACGATACCATCAAAAGTTGACAAGATAAAGTTTCATTTAATCATACAAGGAAGTGTCCCTTTTGAAGCCAGAAATAATAAGAGTATTTAGGTCGCTCTACGTTTTGAAAGTTTGTAGTGTCTTTTCGATATTAATTGGTAGTATTGTATATGTTGGTTGCTCCAATATCGTTTGTCTGAGCTTGTTATAAAGTAGCACTACTCTCTCCATCTAATCCCATAACATCCCACTCATTTGCTAGTTCATTTTCAAACCTAAGCAATCTATTTGTCCAAGTTAAAATCTTTTTGACGTTTTAATCTCTAGCGATAAATTACTATTACAGTTACTTGACAAGTTCAGAATTTAAGTACTTGTGTTGGAGCTACATAGTTGCAAAAGTCATTGTAGTCAGCTAATTTAACAGTGAGTTACTCCCTCCGTCGCAATCTAAGTGTCTTAGTTTGACTGGGCACAGTGTTGAAGAAATAAAGAGAGACTTTTGAATCTTGTGGTCTTAACTTAAAGATGTGTGTAGTCCTTTAAATCTCGTGGTCTTAAACTTTCCATGTAGGATGTTGGTTTAGTCTAAAAAGGAAAGTAAGACACTTAAATTGGGACAGAGAGAGTAAACAAGAGAAGTAGAGGCTGGGAAAGATACTCAACAACTGGAGAAGACAATTAATCCAACTCAGAATAAGTACTCATGCTGAAGCAATTTAGTTGCTGAATTCACAGCAGCCGTCTAATTTACAGTAAAAGAAAAATGAGAGATAGAGCTGAAGAAATCAACGAATTCAACTCAAAGGAGGTACTGCAGTGAAAACAAAGTCTAGTTCTTTTTTGGTACGGAGGAATAGGCTTTTAATTGACAGACCCCTCGCCCCACTGAAATCAAGGTATTGCAGGGAACATTGGAAGATGGTCAAGATGGATGTAGCAGAATTGGTCGGAAGCTTAATCCAGATATACTTTCTGATTGAGGAGTGAAGATCAACCATGAAAGAACATTTGATCCAACCAACCTGTCTAATGAGAGCAGGGTTCGATTTTCTAACATAAGCTAACTGGACTCGGAAAAGAGGTTGTGAAATCTATAAATAAGGAATGTATTGGAAGATCATTTCATTTAAACTGTTATTGATATTTTGAATGAAGGATTTTCGATAGTAAAACCCATGGAGTCACCAGGTTAATCACTAAAATTCCTATCGCCCGCTTTTATCTTTTCCTGTATCTCCTCTATTTATCTATTTCAAGCGTTTAAGTATCAGAATGCTCCCCTCCTGTGATACAGAGAGCTCACAAGACTGGGCATGTCAAAAGAACGAAGGGATGTGCTGACCAACCAAAAGATGGGTAAGGGACTAAATAATACCAAAGCTTACATGCATTATTTTATCTAATACCTCCTGCCAAACGACCCCTAGTAGTTAAAAGGGATGTGCTGACCTCGTTCATTCATCTTTTTTCTCAAAGAGATCTCGTCCTCATCATCTTGACGTTTGTGCGGAATCGTTTCCTGGGCAATTGCACACACAACCAAAAAGAAATTTCTAATGCAATCCAATTGGAGCAGCCCAAACTGCAACAAGCTGATGGATAATTGCTTCTGCTATAAATACTTGACATACATACCAGGACAAAGGTCACTATCCATGTGGTATGTCTCTTTCGGCTTAATCAAGATGGAGCAGAACCAACGTGGTGCATTGTTGGTCCAGAGAACTTTCAGCTTCCCATGCTTAATTTCAACAGGGTGGTAGCAAAATAGTAAACAAATTTGTTCCTTATTCAACATGCAGCTATTGTCCAAAAAAAGAAGTCAATGGCCCCTTACCACTTATGCATCCTCTTTTTTTTTTTTCGATAACCTCGACTAATTCCATGGGATACCTACCACCTCCCACCAACAACATGTAGCATGTAACTCTATCCACCAAGAGTAGAACACGGGATACCTGCCACCTCCCACCAACACCAGGTATCAGGTAACTCATCAAGAGTAGAACAGAATGGAAGAAATCACCAAGTGTTTTTGTCTTTGCTGGAAATTGAACCTGAGACCTCATGTGCTAAACCAACATCAAGGATTTAGGTGATGCTCATTATTTCTTAGGCATGGAAATTATCAGAGAGCCTCAGGGTATAATTTTGGGACAAAGAAAATTTACGTTGGATTTATTAAGTGACTTTGGCTGCACAGACTTGACGCCAATGTCTTCTCCATTGGATCCTTCCACAAGACTCAAACTTGATGAGGGGGAACTTTTACCAAATCCAACTTTGTATCGTATGTTGCTGGGTAAATTGAACTTTCTCACACATACACGCCCAGACCTCTCCTTTGCGGTTCAACATCTTAGTCAATTTATGCAATCTCCACGACAACCTCACCTTGATGCGGCTTTCAGATGCCTCCGTTATCTTCTCTAGGACCCTGGTTTGGGTATTTTCATGACATCTAATCCTTCTTTTGATCTAATTGCTTTCTGTGACTCTGATTGGGGGCGTTGCCCAGACACTAAACTCTCAATCAGTGGTTATTACATTACACTTGGTGGTTCACCTATCTCGTGGAAATCCAAGAAACAGTCTTTGGTATCACTTTCATCAGCTGAAGCTGAGTATCACTCCCTGCGAAGGGTTGTGGCAGAAATAACTTGGATGGTTCGCTTACTTGCTGCTCTTGGTATTCCTTCTCCTCTCCATATTCCTCCACTCGGATAGCTAGGCAGCCATTCACATCGCCAAAAATCCAGTGATCCACGAATGCACTAAACATGTGGATTTGGATTGTCATTTTGTGAGGCAACAATATCTCTCCGGGCTTATTTCTTTAAATTTTATCCCTTCAACTGCCCAATTGGTTGATGTGTTCACAAAGTCCCTCTCTGTTATAAGTTTGTTAAGTTGTTAGGATCTAGCCTATAGTATAGGGACACCTGTATAGAAGATAGCTGAATAAATGGAATTGAACACTGATCAATAAAATACACAGAGAAAATTTTCCACATTTCTTCTCATTTTTACAATAAGCACTTAGGCCCTGCATTACATATCTTACATTATTTTTATTTAGTTTGCAATAGTCCCATTCTTCTACTCTTTTCTTGAAGTCGATAATTATTTATAGCTAGTATCTGACATCAAAAAAGAGTTCAACCCAATAAGCAAAGATTTTAAAGATTACACGATTGCCATCCCAATTCTCTCATCTTTTTTGAACACAAATGCCTTTTCATTCTCTGTGAGAACCAAACGGTTATATCCATTTTCATCGGCAATTCCAACATTTTGGCAAGTAAATTTTTCTCCGTAGGGACAAAAGACTAGCTTATATGTCGAGCCACCGAGTGACTTAATCTGAAATCGATTGTTCAAGTTCACGGAATCAATCAACTGTTCACCTGTGCTTATAGTGTATAATTGATCCGCGGGTTTAGGAAAGTCGTCTACCATCCACATAGTAAAGTGAGAACAAGTAGGAGAATCAAGATAGAATTTGATGTTTACGGTAGACATCTCACTAATGATGTCATATTTGGGATCATGAGGTGTGATGTAGACTGCTATACCTGTTATGACATAATATAATTAGAAATAATTAAATGGTGTCATTAGACACATAATAATATAATATAATAGTTCTTTGGTCTTAATTTATGCTATATTATCTGATTGGACATTAAATTCAAGAAAGGAAGGAATTTTTTTCTAAGCTATAGTTTAAATTAAAACAAATCTGGTATATATAGCTTATTTTGTCAAGCTTCTAGAAGGTCAATAATTATATTTCTTAACAACAAGATTACACATAAAAAAAAAAACATCTCTACCAAATTAATGAGAACTACAATTTACCTTCCTTTTCTCTTTTATACATTTAAAAGTACTTTTAAAAAAATATGCGCCAAATGCAAACTACTAGTAAACACACTTCTCAATACTTGAATCAAACACAAACTCCTATTCTATATTATCAAAATATTTTTGTGAAAAAATAGTTTTAATTTAATAAGATGTTCACTTAGTCAAAACAAACTCTTAGACATTTTTGTGGCAAAGAAAGAGTTCATCTCATTAAGGATAATATGAATTTCAAAATTTAAATTATTTTTACATTAATTATCACTGGAACAATGAGAATAACTTATATAATTGAACAATACCATTATCGAGGTCATTGCGTGATTGCACCACCGATGTGGGACAATCGTTTTGACCTTGATTTCCGAGATTAGCAAGCCTCACGCCTCCGCCACCAGCTCCCCATATAGCCGAAACTATAAAGTACCTTGAGTTTTTGTTGAGGGGATTACCCTCTATGTCTCTTATAGTTCGAAATGCTTGATTTGGTATATTATTTGTGGAACTTGCTAAGGTAAATAAGAGAAGAAATGCAAGAGAAAACAAGAGTAATAAGATGATCTTCATATTTTTAATTTTTTTTGTTTATTTCTTACTAGGTAGGTTATATGTTTTTTGTTAATTAATTTGGATGTTGAATTTATAGAGAAAATGTGACTTGATATTCTTAAAATGTTTACCACGTTTATCTATGACATTATTGTTGTACGTTTCTTTCTAATTTAATTTAATATCATGATTTAAGTAAGGGGCGGAAAATTAAGTAAATTTTTTTGGGGAAATTACGCCCGCGCGGATAAACAAATATATACTAATTAATTAGTTAATATTGGTATAGTTTAAATTAATTATCACTCGCAATCTTTTTTTTAGCTATAATTATGTGCGCCTCTCCTCTTTTCCTCTCTCTCGCCTCTCTCCTCTCTTATACATATACAAATATAAATTATAAATATACAAATACAATTTGCCTCTCTCCATTCTCTGCTCTCTCTCCTCCCTCTCCCAATTCGCTCGCCTCTCTCCTAATCACTCTTTACAGGTACACAAATACATATATGTACCAGTTACATATATACGATTATCTGACAGATAGACATATACAATTCGACAAATATACAAACACAATTCACCTCTCTCCACTCTTTGCCCGCCTCTCTCCTCGCTCTAACATGTAGCTACGAATCGTAATAACAAACTATAGCTATAAAGCCTAATTAAGTTATTTTCAGTGGCAAATGCGAAATTTCCTCAATGAATTTGGACCCTCAAAAGGCATATATGTCTTATTTATCAAAGCATATAGAGTCGGCCTTGGTTCTAAATCAAGGTTAAGTCTCGTGTCAAGGCCCGGATATTTATTTTGGTTCCGAGTCGAGGTAGAGGGTCGGGGCTGAGGTATCTAGTCCCGGGTGAAGGTAGGTCTCGGGTTCGAATTCTGGATGAGTCTTCGGACAATTATTTAGAGGCGGCAAAAAAAAGTTAGGAGCAATGCATCTTATTCATGTGAAAATTATGAAGTGAAGAGCCATTATTGAAATATATCTATAGAAAAAAAGTGTACGATAATATGCTTATCAAGAATATATAATGACAAACATTGTTTTGAGTATTATGTCTAAGTTATCCACCTAAAAATGTATAATAAAATAAAATAAAATAAAAGACAAAAAAAGTGAGGCAAGGTGAGTCACCATTAAAATTATTCTAAACTTTGGTTAAGGAAAAAAAAAGTTGAGGCAAAAAAAAAAGAAAAGATAATCCCAGCTTTCCATGTTTTATCGAGTAAATTATTTCTTTAACTTACATCAATTTTACGTGTCTTTTAAATCGTTTCATCTTTTACTTGGGTTAAAATTTTCATTTATTGACTAAGTATTTTGAGTATAAATTCTCATGTAAATTAGAGAAGAGAAAATGGTCAAATGATCCCTCAACGTATATTCGGATTTTTAACTACACACTTAAATTTTACGGGAGTCCTATCACCCTTCTGTACTGTTTAAAACTGAAATTATTACCTCCTTGAATGCTTAGCTAGCATAGTGAGTGTATTTCACTCTCTTTGGGAGAGTGAGTATCAAATCTATTATTAAAACTGTAATTTTAATATCTCTTTTCAATAAATATATATGCATTTTAAATTATTTTATCTTTCTTTTTTGTTTTCTTTCTTCTCCAACAATATAAACAAATCTCTCAATCTTTCACCATCTCTAAGTCTTGCTGCTCATCTTCACCAGATTCACTATTATTGATTCCAAACAAATTTTCAAACTCATAAAATTCTTGCAAAATTAATCAACCTAAATCAATTGTAGATAAGTTTACATATATTTATATCACCCCAAGATACTTTGGATTCGATTTGAGAAAAATCAATTTGGGTTTACTTCAAACCCAATTGAACCCACCAAATTTTATTTTATTTTTACTAATAGATCCTTTAATTATCAATCTCAAATCTCAATCAATCAACTATATCTAAAAAACTATCGCTATTAATCTCGTTAATTCATCAACCGTCGTAGAATCAGTCTCTTCCTCTTCGAAATTGTCGTCGCAATCGACGATGACGTGGAAGACATCGTAGGCTCCTCCTCCTCATCTTCCTTGAGAGGATTACTTATCTTTGGTGACCACCATTAATGGCAATATTTTGCCATGTTCGTCTTCTCTCCCGCCTTCACTTTTTTTAAAATTTGATTTTTAGGTTTCAAATGGGCAAAACCGGAATATCTCTGGATAAGCTCTGAAAACATTATTCACCTTTCTTCCTTAAAGACCCAATTTCATGGACTTATGGTGTTCTAGTAATGGTGAAAATGGTGAAAGTACTTTGGGTGTTTGAAGGGATGGGTCAGAATATAGAAGAAAAGGGTAAATAAATGTAAAAATTAAAAAAAAAAAAAAATTGATGAGGTATCAAATGCGTGAAACTCACATGCCACCATAGATCTGGTTATGTACTTTTAAGGGTATAATTAATTCATCTTTAAACAGTTCAGGGGTGATAGAATTTCCGTAAAGTTTAAGTGTGTAGTTGAAAATTTGGATATACGTTGAGGGGGCATTTGACCATTTTCTCCAATTAGAGAATAGTTTACCTATTGAAAAAGAAAATATTTGTCGAGTAAATATTAGTATTAAAGTTGATACGATTTTTTTTAAATAAAGAAAGACTGACATGACGTTTTAAAAAATATTGGGTTTGGTTGATTGATTTTATTATTACGTAAAATTCAATTCTTATTGGTGTCTATATCAACTTTTTGCATGAAATATAAATATACTGAACATCACCAGTAAACCATGTTTTATCCAGGGACGGCTCAAATCAGTTGGTGGCCTAAGGCCAAAATCAAACTAGAGGCCTCAAAAAAAAATTATAAATGTTTTTATTTTAAATCTATTTTTCCAACTTTTTGAGATGCAAAGTTGTTAATAATTTTTGTGTAGTCAATCTCTTCTAATAATTTTTTTTCAATCGATAATATAGCCAAACCACTTAATCTTTCTTGAGACATTATCGATCTTAAATAATATTTTATTATTCTTAATTTTGAAAAACTTATTTCGGCTGAGGCGACTGTTACGGGAATTGTTAACATTATTCTATAAGCAATGTAAGCATTTGGAAAAGAATCAAGTCTTTTTATTTGATTGAGTATCTCAATTAGAGTATTATCTTCTACTTTTATGATTTTCTTTAACACTTTTGATTCAGAAAATAAGTCTAAACCGTCAATATCGGAGTGAGTATTATGTTTTAAGGAACATTCAAGTTTAAGACAATATTTTTTCAAATTCTCATCATCTAATGATCTCAATTTTTTCCCACTAAATAGAAAACCAAAAATATTTTCATATACTTCAAATTGTTCAAATATATTTTGAAGTGAAAAGATGGCTTGGTGTACTATGTATAAGAAGTAATCAACTCTAAATGATTCTTCAAGAGATCTTGTGATTTCATTATCAACATTCTCATCAAATTGTTTTTTCTATAAATTACACGTTTCTTACGAAATACAGGTTCTATATTCATCTCTAATGCAATTTACTTAGCCGAAATCATAGTACTTGTAAATCCTTCTTCTCTATATGTTTTAAAAAAAGAAACTAAACCTCTTAATTGATCTATAGCGACATCAAAATCTAACAAATATTTTAAAACACTATTTACAATATCAAATAAAAAATATAATAAACATAAGACACAAAACAAAAATAATATTAGAAATTAGAATGATATTACCGAATTCAAAAGCTATGAAGACTTGATTTCCAAAAATGAATCGGGCTGCTGCAATATAGTTTTCTCCAAATTTAAAATATAAACTATCAATAGAACGAGTAAATTTTTAAGCTTTGAATAAGAGAGACATGCAAGATTAGAAAAAAGAAAGTGAGAAGAAATAGAAGGGAGGAGGATAGAATATATAAAAATAAAATTAGAAAAAAAATAAGGTAAAAAAATAAAATAACTTGTACGTTAAAAAAAAAAGTACACAACTTTTTATTGAAAAGTCAAAAAGTCATAGTCATATCTATCATACTATTACTTCATTGAACCGTTTTGCATTTATTGTCTTGGTTCTAACAATTTTGTTTAAAAAATTTAATCCTTCCTAATTAACTAAAAAATGGGGCCTTTGCATTTATTGTCTTAGTTCTAATATTATTTTTTAAAATTTAATCCTACCTAATTAACTAAAAATGGGGCCCCTAAAATTGGGGGCCTAAGGCAAAAGACTTTTTTTAAGCCTTACCAGCCGCCCCTGGTTTTATCACTTTCAATAGTTATTAAAACACTAAATTTGGAATTATATATAATATAATGGAGATGAGAGGGAGTCGCTCGGATGGTAAGCACCCCTCACTTCCAACCAGAAGGTTGCAAGTTCGAGTCACCAAGGGAGCAAAATGAGTGGGAGCTCCTAGGGGAGGGTAAAAAAAATAAAAATAAAAATAAAATATATATATAATTAGCTAGAGTTTGCATTTACAACGATAATAGTAACAACGTAATCAATATAATTTTACAAGTGAAATTTAAGAAGGATAACAATAAAATGTTTTTATTCACCAACTGAACATTAGAAAATATTTTCTTGAAAAACAAGTTGGTTTCTAACTTATTTTCTTATGTTTGGTTAATGAGTGAAAAATATTTTTCAGAACAATTTGTATCAGCCTATCATGAATCGGGTTCTGAGTCAAGATTTGAATTTCGAGTCAAGATATGGAGTAAGGAGTTAGATCCTGAGTAAGAAGTTTTGTCCTGAATCAGAGTTGGAAATTAGGGTTGGGGACGAGATAGGGAGTCAGGTCTCAAGTTGGGGTTGGGAGTGGAGTAAGAGAGTTTTGGATAGCATTTTTTTAACTTTAAGTAGGAAAGTCATAAGTTAGAAAAAAAAAAACAATTTCATTTTAAAATTATTTTCCAAAACATTTGGGACAAAGGTGAGAAAATTGAAGATCATACCTAACACACCCTTAATAATTATATACCTTTT